ATGCTTTGAGCCGAAAGTCGTATCAAGTTGAAGAAGCACACTTGTCTCTCAACCATGCTGAGGTGCTAGCCCATATTGCTCTAGTCTCGGATTTACTTGAGCAAATTATTATAGAGCAAAGGCATGATGTTTCGGAAATCCCGCATATCAAAAAGTTAATTGCCAAAGGGTGTGGTCCTCATTTTAGTGTTGATGATCAAGGTATAGTGAGGTTCAAGGACAGATTGGTTGTTCCATCAAGTGAGGAGCTTAGAAGAAAATTTTTGGAATAAGCTCACAACTCCAAGTTGTCCATCCATCCAGGAAGTAACAAGATGTACCATGATTTACGGTGCTTGTATTGGTGGTCAAATATGAAACAGGATATCACCAAGTACGTCATGTAATGCGACACTTGTGGAAGAGTAAAGGCAGACCATATGCATACACCGGGATTTTTGCAGCCCTTGCCTATCCCTGTTTGGAAATGGGGGGAGATTTCCATGGGTTTTATTGTGGGTTTACCCCGCACGTCCAAGGTCTATAACTCTATTTGGGTTATTGTGGATCGCCTTACCAAGTCCGCTCAATTTCTTCCGGTGGATACCAGATATTCAGCCAAGAAGTATGCCAAGAAGTATACCAGATATTCAGTCTTTATCTCTTGTTTTGGAGCAACTCCACGAATGTCTTGGTACTGATCTCCTCTGAAGTTCAGCTTATCATCCATAGATGGATGGGCAAATAGAAAGAGTCAATCAGGTACTTGAGGATATGTTGAGGGCTTGTGCCATCTCTTTTCCTGAAAAGTGGGATAAATGCTTGAACTTAGCTGAGTTTTCTTACAACAATAGCTATTAGAAAAGCATTCATATGGCACCTATTGAAGCTCTATATGGAAAGAAGTGTAGGACCCCACTTAACTAGGTAGAAGTGGGTGATCGTGGATATTTTGGGCCTAATTTTATCAAAGAAGCTCGGGAGCAAGTCAGTATTATTCAGAGCCATTTGAAGGCAACTCAAAGTCATCAGAAAGGTTATGCGGACAAGCGAAGAAGGCCCTTGCAATTTGAAGTTTGTGATCATGTGTATCTCTCCCATGAGAGGTGTACATCGATTTGGTGTCCGTGAAAAGTTAGCTCCTCGCTATGTTGGGCCTTATAAGGTTTTGGAGCGATGTGGTCCTGTTGCTTATCGTCTCCAACTTCCAGACATTTTGTCAGCAGTGCATGCATAATATCTTCCATGTTTCCCAGTTAAAGAAATGTTTGCGGGTCCCCGATGAAGCGGTTGAAATGGAAGGACTTCCCCTCTAGCCCGATTTGTCGTATATTGAGCATCTTGTCAAGATCTTGGACAAAAAAGAAAAAGTGACTAGAAACAGTGTGGTGAAGTTTTACAAAGTTCAGTGACAAAATCACTCGGAGGACGAAGCAACGTGGGAGCAAGAAAGTTATATCTTAAGCATTATCCCCACCTTCTTTCCAGTTAACTGAGGTAATTATTTAAATCAAAATTTATTTCTTATCTCTTTTCCCACACTAGACACATAAAATCTCGGGATGAGATTTGGTTTAAGGGGGTAGATTTGTAACACCTTAGGTGTTACACTGTAAATCATTTACTAAAACATGTCATGAGCATCATGTTTATATGTTAATGCATGTAATAAAGAGTGTAGATCAATTTCCATAACTCAAAACGATCAACGGAAATGCGAAATAAAAGTTAATTCAATAGTCATATTATATCACTTAGGGTTTAAAACCAATTTTTATTAAACAAAAATGCTATAGAACATGTATGTGATACTTAAATAAAGTTTGAAGTACAAACTTTATAGATGACAATGAAATACCTGCGGTCGAAAAATGATATTACTAGTTAAGATTTCCAATAGCTTAGAAATGCAATTTGAAATAGAGTTCAACTCAAAACTTGGAAAAATTTCAAAGTTTGTTGGCAGTGGTCGTCGTCGCCGCGTCGGTGCGCCTCACGTGCGCCCGCATGTTACCGCACTGGGCTGGCCATGTGCCATGGGATTAGCCTTGGACGCTGCCGTGTGAGGCCATCGCTGCTGCCGCGCGGCCGTGCCGCGCTGCCGCCCGCCCTGCGCGCTGCCGTGCTGCCCCGCTGCTATGTTGCTGCTGCTGTGGCCGCTCTGCCTCGCTATCGCTCATTATGTCGTGTTGCGGGCCACCTCATTGCTGCTCATTGCGCCGCTGCCGCGCGTTGCCTGCATGCACGTGGGTTGCTCCCGTTGCGCTTCAGTCGTCGCCTCGCCTTAATGGCACTACGGCCGCGCGGGCTAGGCAACGCCTGCCGTCTCGCGCGCGCATGTGGCCGGTTGTGGAGGGCACGCTCGTCGTTTGCACATTGGACGGAAGCACTTGGTCGCGACATACGCATCCCGCCAAGGCGCACAACCACGCCACTGCCGCCGCCGTATTTTTCCCCTACTGCACCCCTACCCGCCGCAGTCACATCGCGCCCACCGGGGGCCCGAGCACGGGCACCAGCCATCAATTCTTCACGCTCGTGGATGTGCCCAGTCGCCAACGTCTCAACCGCCACCTAACGCTAATTCTGTTGTTGAGTTAAATGAAGAAGTTCCAGCAGAAAATGCAAGAATTTTGGAGCACCATTCATGTACAAACCAGATACCTTCTGCTGCTTCAGAACACGAAGATCGGGCGCCAGGACATGACGGTGGTGGTAGTGGATCCCTTCCTCAGATCGCGGTAGGCGGATCAACACCAACTCCTGCGCCAAGCACTGGTGGTCCTCGCCAATCCCAGCCTGCCATGATGGGGATGAGCACTCCGTATCCCCTCTGCATGCAACAACACCATCGCCTATGCATGCAACCACACAATCACCTGGATCCTCCTCTTTGCATGCAACAGCACCATCGCCTATGCATGCAACAACACCATCACCTGGATCCTCTGTGGTTGCGGCGAATGGTGATCCGAGTGGTGCACCAGTGGACAGACCTCACACGCGTCTGCAGCATGGGATTAGAAAAGAAAAGGTATATACTGATGGCACAGTTAGATACGGTTTCCTAACCTCCACTGGTGAGCCCTGTAGTGTTGATGAAGCTCTTGAAGATAAGAATTGGAGCGCAGCCATGAATACTGAGTACGATGCATTGATGAAAAACAGAACATGGCATTTTGTTCCACCATAAAAAGGGAGAAATGTGATAGGATGTAAATTGGTGTACAAGATTAAAAGAAAATCAGATGGAAGCTTAGACAGATATAAAGCTCGCTTGGTGGCTAAAGGATTCAAACAAAGGTATGGTATAGATTATGAGGATACATTCAGTCCTATCGTTAAATCTGCCACTATTCGTGTTATCTTGTCTATTGCTGTCTCCCGTGGATGGAGCCTTCGACAACTTGATGTGCAGAATGCATTTCTTCATGGATTCATGGAAGAGGAGGTCTACATGCAGCAACCTCTAGGATTTGAAGATTCGTCCAAACCAAACTATGTCTGTAAGTTGGACAAGGCGTTGTTAGGGCTGAAACAAGCACCGAGGGCATGTCACTCTCGGCTGAGTGCTAAATTGATTTCTCTTGGATTCCAGGCATCCAAGGCGGACACCTCTCCGTTCTTCTATAGCAAGCGAGGCATTACTATATTTGTGTTAGTTTATGTTGATGACATTATAGTCGCAAGTTCCTCAGAGAAAGGGACAACAGCACTTCTTCAAGATCTTCAGAGTGAGTTTGCACTGAAGGATTTAGGAGAACTCTATTATTTCCTTGGCATTGAAGCAACAAAGGTATGTGATGGGATTATACTAACACAGGATAAGTATGCCTCTGATTTATTAAAAAGATTTAGCATGTCAGACTGCAAACCAGTTACAACCCCATTAAGCACTAGTGAGAAATTATCTATACATGAGGGTACACCTCTCGGTCCTAATGATGCAACACAGTACAGAAGTATAGTAGGTGCTTTACAGTATCTAACTCTCACTAGACCAGACATTGCATACTCAGTGAACAAGGTTTGTCAATTTCTTCATGCACCAACCACTATCCATTGGGCAGCGGTGAAACGAATTTTAAGAAATCTGAAACAGTGTACCAAGTTGGGACTTAAGATACATAGATCAACCTTTGCTCTGGTTAGTGCTTTTTCAGATGCAGACTGGGCAGGAAGCACAGATGACAGGAGATCAACTGGAGGCTTAGCTGTGTTTTTGGGGTCCAATCTTGTGTCATGGAGTGCCCGAAAGCAAGGTACAGTATCACGGTCCAGTACGGAGTCTGAGTACAAGGCTCTGGCCAATGCTACTGCAAAGGTGATGTGGATACATACTCTTCTTCGAGAATTAAATATCAGTAGTCCACGGGCAGCTAAGTTATGGTGTGATAATTTGGACGCTAAATACTTGACAGCTAATCCTGTGTTCCATGCTAGAACCAAACATATAGAGGTCGACTATCATTTTGTCAGGGAGAGAGTGTCTCCGAAATTACTGGAAGTTGATTTTGTTTCTTCAGGTGATCAAGTTGCTGATGGGTTTACAAAACCACTCTCAGTTCGGCTCTCGGAGAATTTCATGTACAATCTTAACCTAGTACGGTTATAATTGAGGGGGGCTGTTGGAAATAGTATATTTTGGATATGTATGCATGCTTGTAATCTCAACCACCTGGTGTACACAGCCAAGGGAATAGATCTATGCATGTGTTGTACATGGTCCGGGAATAATTCTTCACTGCTAAGAATAGGAGATAATCACGTAACACTTTCCTTGACCGGTATTCCAGGTGGTCCTTTGCTATATGTAATGCCACGATCGGGCTTTTCCGATCTCATCTAACATGCAACACGCTGAGCCCAAGATAGGGTCAGCGCTTCCTCCTACTGCGCCTCTGATTTTAACACTGCGGCCTCCCGAGTCCCCATAAATACCGACGGAAACGACGCGAATTTTATTATATATACCAACAAAAACCCAAGGAAGAAAGGGACGATCGATCCAGAAGCAAACCATGGCCGCCGCCGCAGGGACGGACGAGGAAGGACTGCCAATTATTAGCGAAAAACAATCGACGACGACGAAGCCAGAGCAGGAGTCACCAGCTGGAGCAATATGCGCCGCCCTTGTCGTCCTCGTCCTACTCATCCTCGGCGTCGTCTACCTGTCCATCGGCGTCGTGCACTTTTTCAGTCACTGGCAAAGGTTTTTCGGCCCGTATGACCCCGTCGAGTACACCGTCACCATCGCTGCCGTCTCCGGGCTCGACCCCGCGAAGGACCTGCATGGACCGCCGGCGCTCCTCTACCCGGCGTTCAACCTGACGCTCCGCGTGGCCTCACCTCGCACGGCGGAGGACCGCGAGTGCGTGAAGCCTGGCACCACGGTGGAGGTGTCCTACCCCCGGTCGGCCGGGGTGCCGTTGGCCACCGGGACCGCGGCGACGTTCTGCGTGGACGTCGGGGAGCGCAGGGAGGAAGGCTCCGTCATCGCGTGGGGCGACGGCGTGCGCCTGCCGGGGCTCGTGCTGGACAGCCTCGCCGCGGACGGGGCGCCGGAGTTCGGCGTCAAGCTCACCCCGCTCCCTGACTGTCGCAGCGGCTGGAGGTTCTGCTCCGACACCGTGGACGTGATCTGGTGCAGGGCTAAGGTCGGCGGCGGTCCGGCTCCGTGTAGTGTCTTGAAAGAAAGAGTCTCCTTGCCGCCGGTGCAACGTCCCGGCGTCAGGGACTCGGCGGCCTATCTTCCACAGCCAACGCCGTAGAACGTAGCGATATATACGCGTGAGTGATCTGTTATGATGGTGCCCTTTGCTTCTCTACGTTGTGTCTTGTCATTCCTATGGGTTCTGCTTGTTCTAGTGTTAAGTTTCTGGTAGTGTTTCGGATGTTAAACTGTAGCTCGTTCTGGCTCTTCCTTTTGTACTTCCGTTCCTATGATTTTTACTTTTGCTTTCATAAATGGTCCTGTTCATTTATCTGATGATACAATATATATAATTCAAGGTAGTATTAATTAATGATTACTGCAAATATGGAATGTGTATTCTCTGTTTAAAAATAATTCTTGATGGCTCAATTCATGCATTTGGTATTTCTATCACAGTGACTTTCTTAATTAATCATAGTTTTTGTTCTAAGTTTTTTCGTTTTTGCTAAACCAGTTTCATATAATTAAAGAAAAATTGATGGGGCCGTAACTTTCCAAGCCCAGGGAACATGTACTCTGCCCTGGGAGTCCCGCTTCCGCACTGCTCGCTCGCTCGCCAGGCAGGGGGTGCTCGCCGGTTGCTGGCCGCTCGCCACGGTGTGGTAGGGGGTGCTCGCCGAGCAGGCCACCATGCTTACCAGGTGCTCCTCACATAGGTGCTCACCTAGCGCTCCTCTCGTGGCCTTGCGCAGGTGCTCGCCCAGTGCAATGCCTCCGTTAGGGCACCTGCGATGCTGCCTCAGCTAGGGCACCGGTGAGCTCCATGCGCCACTGCCGACCTCCACGCCGTTGTCGAGCTCCGCAATGACGAACCTCCATTCCTGCAAGCAGAAAGCTGACATTGAGCTGAAAGTGCATGTTACAAGCGTATGTTTCAAGTGTTTCAGATGTTTCAGAGGTGTGTTGTGCATGTGTTTCACAATGATGTTGCAATAGTAGATCAGAATGTTGCATAGTTGTAATGGCTATACATGCATGTTGCAAAGGGTGTGTTTCAAATGTTTCATTTTTTTCATAAGCGTGTTGCAAGTGTGTTTATTTTGGATGTTGCATATGTTGCCAGTGTTTTATTTGTATGTTGCATTTAATTGCAATGGCTTTTCAAATGTTTTTAGACGTTTTGCAAGTTTTTCAGACGTATGTTGTAAGTGTTTCAGCTGTATCATACGTATGTTGCAAGTGTTTCATCTCGATATTGCAAAAGTAGATCTAGTATTACATATGTTTCAGCTGTTCCAGGCGAATGAGCAGGCAGGGCAGCGGGCGAGCAGACGCGGCCAGGTGGACATGAGAGGCGAGCAGTCGGTTGGGCGAGCAGACGCGAGCAGCGACCGAATGAGACACCAGCTAGGCGGGCGAGCAGACGCGAGCAGCTGCCAGGCTAGTAGATAGCATGGCAGGCCATGTGAGCAGGCGGCTAGGCGAGTATACGACCAGGCAAGAGAGCAGGCGGGGAGGCACAGCAGGCGAGGAGACGCCGTCCGGACGTCCGAGGGCTGGCCACACCATTGGCAAGCTCGGTATTATTAGGCTAGGATTGAGGCCCAATCCACGAGCGCCGTGGTACAAAGCCCACGCCAGGGCTACCACCCCTCCTGGCCCAAAGGCGCATTTGGCACTCGAGGTTGGGGTGGATTCGGATAATCAAAGCCTCATTAGATTTTACTAGAGGAACTCCAAGAGACTAGCCATTTGAGTTGTGAAATCCTATTTTAGGTATTTTTGGAAGAATCACCGCTTCAACAGTTATTCTATCATGTTTTCCAATATAACAAGTCATCCATCCCGCACTTCTTGCTGGATAAAAATAGCAAGTCGTGAAGGCTCCCCATCTACATGGTGGTGTGCTAGCGAATGGTTGGAGTACAGACAAAGAAGTGAACCAATCTCAGCATGACATGTCAGCTTTACAAAATAGATAATGAGAAATTTAGAAAGGTTGTTGGATTACTCTACTCTTTTGGAGGATGTTCTATTTTATGGAATGGCTAAACCATGGATTTTAGACTCTTATTCTATATAATCTCTTGGAGTTGCCTAGCTGCTGGGGATAGATGTCCATTATCATTTAATATAATTTCTCTGTTGCTCAAAAAAAAAGTTTAATCTAATTTCTCTCAAAAATATTATCATTTAATCTAATAAAAATAAAAAATTATTGAGATTAACTTAAATGGTCTGGTGTTAACAGTCTTTTTTTTCAATTTTTGAATTATGATATGAGATCCATGTACATATCTAAGCCATGACAATCTACACAAAGAAGCAGATAATTATACAAAGCCATCTTCAATGAATTTTAGCCGGTTTCGCTAAGATGTGAACACAAAATTATTAATTCTAGGGTTCGTCTTTCAATGAGAAGCCATGTATATTCTAGTCACACCAATATGTACATAGTAGCGTAGAATCCTACTACGTCCTCTCCAAGAAATTTCAGCCAATTTTGCTACTTATTTAAGGTGTGAACGTACAACTTTTAATTACAGAGTTCAACTTTCGATGTGGGGCTTTTTTTTTGGAAAGACTTTTGATGTGGGACCTTTCTGTATATCTAGTCACACTAATCTGCACAAATTAACAAGCAATTGTATTGAATTATTAACGTGAACTTTTCATTTGAGTTTCGTTTTTTCATTCGAGATCTATTGCTCTAGCATGTCTTGTAGTAGTGCAGGAGGATGTAACTAGGTCCGGCAGGATGTCGTATGTAGGAGAGAAATCTCACACCAGACTAGATCAAATCAACTCTTAAGGAATCATCGTCTAATCTTGACAACATCTAAATTTCAGATCTAGACACCACCATTGTACTATATCCATATCTCTTCTCTCTACTATTATGTAGAATGAAATACACCTTCACACATTCGGCTCGCCCTCTTTTGTCCGCTTGGTCCATCGTCCGTCTACTTCACCTCCACCGATGGTTTTTTGTTCTACCCCTTCGGACGAAAAAATGAAAATGCATCATCAACCCGTCCCAACATATCTCTGTGTGTCTATGTTTTCTTTTTACCCTGGCTCACATGTCCTTCCCTCAATCCGCACATCGCCTTCGCACGGTCCCTCCCCTACCACTCATTAGCTAGGGCAACATGGTGACATCCATGCCCCGACGAGGTCCCTTCTGTGCAATAGCTTCGATGATTCCATTGTTAGTTTGCTTGAAAATAGTCATTCTTTGTCATGTAAACGCAATAAGTATCCTTTGCTGGTTTGCATTGTAAACCTCACTGCTCTTCACTGTCAAAGTGTGTCAGTTATCCGCTGTGTTCTTCATTTCATGACAGCCTAGGAGATCTAGCCCTATCTAGTGTGTGATCGTTTGCGTCAACAACAAGTCAGGTAGAAAGGTTTGATCTTTTTAGATAGTGGAAAAAATCCGGCATCATACCCTAAAGAGAGGAATCAGACCAATTTCTTACAAACTAACCACCGCAATGACTGGACTCACAAAACTGACTCAAAACTCAATTCTTGAAATAAAGGGCCATCCGAAGGACACGAAGAAATGCATAGCCACATTGTCCAACTTGCAGCTTGCCTCCAACATTTGTTCCCTCTTGTCCACACACCACTGCAACTGAGTCTAAAACCGAAGTCAATGTGTTCCCTAAAAAGTACCCGCAACAGAGTTTTTTGTCGACATTTGTCAAATACAACTTCATTGCTTGTTAGCCATATAGACCAATAGATCGCTGCTACACCTGTCAATAAAAAGCATCTGAAAGTTTTATCCCTTGTTGATACCAGTTATTAAATAAGTTTTGTATGTTTTGGGGTGGACTAATACCTAACACCATATGGACCGCCCTCAACAGGAACTTAGCATAAGTGCTTTGAAGGAAAAGGTGTTGGATGGTTTCCAGCTCACTACAAAAACAACAAGATGTAGCTCCATTCCAATTTTTCTTTGATAAATTATCTTTTGTAAAAATTACCTCTTTTTTAAAGAACCAAAGAAAGATTTTTATCTTCAAAAGTATCTTTAGTTTCCAAACTATTTTTGAAACTCTGATCCCATTATTGACGAGGAACTTATACATCGATTAACTGAAAAGATACCATTCTTATGCAGGCTCCAAATAAAAATATAAGAGCCATGTTGCAGATACACATTAGCCACTCTAGCAACTAAATTGACATCAAGTGGACTTGAGCGAAACAAAGTTGGGAATCCCATTCGATTTGCATATGTTAAGCATGCCACCAACATTTATCCTAAGCCAGAGGATTGAACTCTCCATATGGTTCAATGTTGCATTAGTTATAGCTTTTGGGGTTTTAGAGGTTGAGTACCAAACCAACACTACTACAAAAACAAATTTGCGCAGCGTTGCGATAACGCTCTCCGCGGCGGGCTCCCACGATTTACCACGGCGGGCATTTTTTATTTACTGAGGCGGGCACTTTTGCCCGCCACGGTAAATCGATTTACCGTGGCGGACCTCTTAATATGCCCGCCACGGAAAATACCTATTTTCCCGTGGCGGGCATATTAAGAGGTCCGCCACGGTAAATCGATGTACCGTGGCGGGCATCCTATAAAGCCCGCCTCGGTTAAGGCCGAGGCCCAATAGGCCTAGGGCGAGGCCCATAGCGGGTACTGGTATAAAATGACCACTTAGGTTTCAGTCCTCTTACCTCTCATCCCCAGCGCCGCTCCCACCTCGCGACCCACGACGAGCACCGCGACGCACGCACTCCCTCCGTCGCCAGCGTGAAGGCCTCTCCCACTCCCTCCCTCTCTCTCTCTCCCTCTCCCACTCCCTCTCTCTCCCACTCCCTCTCTCTCTCTCTCCCTCTCCCACTCCCTCTCTCTCCCACTCCCTCTCTCTCTCCCTCGCCGGCGTGTGAATGCCTCTCTGGCGTAGGGACAAGCGAGGTCACACGCGCCACCACCTCTCCGTCGCGCGCGCCGCCGGCGTGTGAAGGCCTCTCCGCGGCGCAGCATCGAGCAAGGTCGCGCGCGCCACCACCTCTCCATCGCGCGCGCCACCACGTGGGTCCAGGACCGTGATCGGATCTGGCGAGGAGAGCACCGCCGCGCGC